GGTTCACCATCAGTGGATGACCTAGAATGTAAACGGCTGTTCAAACACATAGGTGACACTATTGTACATTCATCATCATAAAACAAACACTACAAGCAGCGCAAAAAATCGGTGCCATGAGTGATGCAAAACAGGTCAATGGTCATAGAAGGAGTAAAGGGGGTAAAACAAACATGCATGCCCTCGACAAAATGTCGTTAACCAACGGAGAGAGAGAAAGAAAGGAATGATTTTCAGAATTTTCGTTAAGTACATTGTCCTCAGCACGAAATTTTGGGGAAAACCAGCAGTCAAAATATATGCTAATGCTTAGGCCGTTTCCAGGCATCGTAATTAAAAGGAGAGAGTGGAGACGAAAATTCAAATGATCATCGCATGAATCACCAGAGGTCGACAACTCGTTCGAAATGTTTTTCTTTCATTCTCTAAAAACAAACCTTGAACTTTTGGAGCTATTGACAACAGGCAGAAATCTCGGTATCCGCGAAACACATTGGCCTCCAGGAATCTCCAAATACATGCAAAACCTTATCGATCAAATAGACGCAAATTTTAGCATCCTAAAATTCGTAGTTTCCATCTCGAGAGAACGTAATTACATTTCAATATTGTCAAATTTCACCATGCAAATTGCATTTTTACCTGGAGAATCTTGGGCATTTATAACTAAAAATACAGATTTGTCTTCTTATCTCATGCAAAAGTCCGGCAAATATAGGACAAAAATTTTACAGGTACTTTCTTGTAAAAAAATTGAACTCAAGGTTGTAACAAAATTTAGAAAATTAAATTCCCTGACATTTCCCTGACACATTTGAATAAAATTTCCTGACACTTGAAGATATGCCGCGCGGCCAAAAATACATAATTAAAAATAGTTTCCTGGCAAAATTTGTTGTTCCAAACGTCAAATCCTATCTGGAAAGCTGAAAAAGGTGAATTGACAATTTTCCCCCGACACTTTCGTCATTTTCCCTAACTTTTCAAAATTCCCTGACATTTCCCAGTATTCTCTGACTGTGACAATCCTGTAAATTTATTGTTTGAGTCAATTTTGAAACCTTAAAATGGCGTTACGATCCTTCCATTTGGCGTCGTTGAAAAACGACGAATTGTCTGGAGGTCCATTTCCAGCTCAAAATGAAGTTTCTGAACTTCAACCCCACTCGCTTTTAAATCTCGCCACGTTCCTTCGACACGTTCGTCCCGCTTCCTAAACGCGTTAGCGGTGACGTTTACGTCGAGAAGCTTCTAACGTAAGATTGGATTCACTGAAAAAAATGGATCTAGAGTCCAGACTCTTGAAAACATTGACAAGAAAAAATACTCTCGATTCAATCAGATTTTTGCTTAAATCAGAAGGAAATCCGCTCAAATTAAGAGGCTTGGTTCTTGAATTCTTAATTTAAGGTACACTGAAAAAAAATTCTCGGCATTTTTACCAAGGTCCGTTAGTACCTTTACCATCTCACTTTTTTACCAATTATTGGTAATTTTACCAAGACAGACTGGTAAGCGTACCTAAAAACCGGTATTTTTACTGTTTTCTCTGGTAAGATTACCACTTTTATTGGTAATCAATTCCCGGTAATTTTGCCATTTTATCTCGGTAATTCTACCACAGTCGATAAAAAATATTGGCGTTTTTACCAAGGTCCAGTAAAATTACCGAGAAAGTTCAATAATTTTACCGAGATTTCTTGATAAAATTACGAATTCCAAAAATGGTAATTTTACCAAGAAAAAAACTGGGATCAAATAGAACCCTGAACTCTTCGTAATTTTACCCTTTTCTTAGTAAATACACCGAGATTTTTTTTTCAGTGTAGATTCTGATTGAATCAAGAGTACTTTTTCTTGTCGATGTTTTTAAGAGTCTCGACTCTAGATCCAATGTGTTTTTTTTCCAGTGTCCGAATATCCTTCCTCCGACGCAAACACGTATTTTTTTCCCCACATAAGCCCTGGAGAGCATGGAGTTATATGGACAACAGGGGTCATGTAGAAATCGAGATACGTAAGAGGGGAGAGGGACCCGCGGGGAGGATGGGCAAGGAGAGGACGGGGGGATTCGCACCTATGATTCCGGTGGGTGCGTCGGCGCCCTTGGTTCCGATTAAAAATTGAAGGTTGACGTCGACGTCGCAACCGACGCTAACTGCGCAGTTTCCGGCGCTTTCCACGCCGCGTCGCGACGCCTCCCGTCCCCGTCCCACAGGACTCCTGACGCCGCGACGCGGATTCAACGATGGATGCTCGGACCGATATTACCGCGCAGGATGGCAAAATTACATGGGAAATAAAACCTTGAAACTTCACGTGAAATATTTCGAGAAACATCAGAAATTCACGAAAGACATTGAAAAATAATGGTTCCTTTTCATGTTTCGCAAAAAATGAAAATTGAGACATCCTGCTATTTTGGTGTATTTGCGGGCGGGTTGCATACTCTAGCCCCTGAAAAATATGAAATGTTTTACAGCCTCGTGAAATTTCATGAAATATTTCACTGAAATGTCCAATCTTTCATTTCTTTCTTGGGTTTCATGCCACCTTGTTATTGCGCTCAGGGGGAACGCCAAATGAGCCCTTACGTCGCGTCGCCATTTTTCCTTCAATAAAAAACCGACTTCCATTGAATGAAGTTGGAAAATTGTGAATATTTTTCGCCAAATTTTCAAAAATTGTGCTCGTAATTGTATCTAAAATACCTGAACATTTCAAGGTAAAATATGCGTAACTTCTCGTAAAAATACATATTTAATGCCGAAGATTTGACAACTCTCGAAAGTTCATACGTGGTTCTTCCTCAGCACGTCAGAATATTACCGCGCTCAGGAAAAAGGCCGTGCGGCCATTCCAATGTTGCCATTTTCCCTCAGAAAATGATGATTTTTCAAGAGAGATACACAGATCTGTCATCGACATTTCCGGACACTATTGGTATAGTTACGAGAACAATTTTCTAAAAAATTGGAACATAATAGCAGATTTCTCCAACAGTTCGTGAGATTTTTCCAAGGAAATTTGATAACGTCCACGGAGAAAAAACATCCCTATGCCGTCATGCTACGGAAAAACGCCGTATCGACATTCGAAAGTTGCCGAATTTCTTGCCGTAAAATCTTCATTTTTGAGGAGGGCAATGGATATTTTCTTTTGAAATTTTCAAATAATTTACAATAAGTTCTAGTCGCGAATAAAATTCTCTGAAAATTCAAAAAAAAATGTTCACAGAATTCCCTGAAAATTTACATTTCATCAAAGGAAATTTGGCAATGTCTGAGGGCTTAAAACGGATCGGAACCGGATAGAGGAACAACCAGACCGCTCGGTCCAGTCGCCGAAGTTAGGGTCACACATCTGAAGTACTTAGGTACTTTGGTTGAAACTTTTCACGAGCCAATCGAAGGACCACAGTATTTTGGGTGTGTGGCTCGAACTTCGGTGGCTGGATTTGTGGTTAGCTTTAAAAATTCATACGGCCAGTTTTTTCCTCCGTGTCTGAGAGTAAATCGAAGAGCTCACGTTGACAGGGAACCCTGACCTTTCCAGGTCCCTCACAAAAATGCCGAGCACTTCTGAGTTTTTTTAGAACCTGACATTTCAAGTTTTCAATTTTCTCCCGTCAAACCCGAACGGTCGCGACATAGCTTGAAGGATCGAAAAAAATTACCGTGCAGAAAAACGAAAGGTCGGAATAAATAACTGCGGTACAGAAAAAGGAGACAGCGAAAAAAGTTAATGCAAAACGTCCAACTTTTTCATAAAATTTCCAGTCATTTTCCTGTTTTCCTAGCTTTTTTTTTGGTGAGTTTTTTCTCCCGACTTTCCCGGGTTTTCAACCCTGAGATAGCTAAGTGCACCCAAACGTGAAAAATGAGTGATTTCTATTGGTAATTTTAAGAAAAATTGACTGTTTTCTGTTGCCGATTGAGAATTGAAAGAAATAAATAACAAATAAAAACCCGTTCCTACATTATTCGTATGCGTAATTATTTGCTCATGATTCTCAGATCTGCGTTTAGAAGGAGGTGAAAAGTCGAAAAATGAGCCAGCCGATTCCATAAAGTTTCATATATTTGTACATGATTTACCTCATTTTCGGAGGTTTTTGAGTCAAGTTATTCCCTCAACTATTTTCGTGCTTCTTCCACCATTGCACACACCCTGAAACCCTCCCTCCGGTTTTCCCATAAAAGGAGACCCTTTGCATTCGAGTTGTTCTGCTTGCCCTGAATATCGTGTCGATGGCCAAAAAATGAAACCACGTATCTCCGTTTGCGACGTTGCAGATTTCCTGTCATACTTCATTTTTTCAATAAAAAACGAGTCAACATAATTTCTTGGGAGCTACATACATCATAAAAGCCGCTTTCATAGTGCTCTTAATTTGGCTCTCTGCGAGACCCCTATCCTCCCAAAGCCCTTCATGGAGGTGGCACCTCCTCATTTCCTTTACAGCCCCTTGTTGCCACCTTTTCAATGGGATTCCTCCGTCTCCTCCCAGGAGGGACCCATTGAAGCATAGGAACTTCTGTGATAATTCCTCCCTGTTAATAGAATATTCTATATAGATTTTAAACTATAAAGTTGGCGTGGTTCTCTTCGAAATAGAATAAAAGCGAAAAATTTGAATTTCTCGCTCAAATCGCGACAAAAATGACAAAATTCCGGACCTTTTTGCGGAATTGCTGCACTTTTTAGCACTTCCGGACCGCCCTTAAAAATTAGTACTATTTCCGGACTTTCCGCAAATTCCGGACTTGTAGACACCCTGGACTTTCCGCAAATTCTGGACTTGTAGATACCCTTGACTCTCATCAAACTGAAAATCCTCGTGCACGCCTTTCAGCAGCCTAACGCCCCTGCTGTTTAGATACTTCAAAATAGATAAATGATGTATCCGCAGTTAAGGAATAGAATGAGTCGTCAATTGATCGGAAAACACGAAATTACTCAATTCAACGGTCTGATAAAAAACGAAAGTGGATTAGTACCTAGATTGCCTCGGCTCCAGTGGTGCGCAGCGTTCTGGATGATCGCCGCTACAGACATCATGGGTTTATCCTTTTTTAACATTGTCACCGGGAAACTTTCGACCACAAAACTTTAAAATTTTACGCTCGGATTTGAGGAGCTGACGAACACTTGAGTGACAACGAGCATAGTCGAACACAGCGTATTTTTGGTCGGAAACAAAACTTTTAAAAACTTCAGTTTTATCGACGGTGCGATTAAAAACACAAGACAAGGCTGAAGCTTGGTTTTTCTTTCAAGTCGGAGGAAATAATTTTGAGAGAACTGGAGACCGCCGAGGGTTCCGGTTGAAAAAGGGTTGAAACACTGGCAACCGAAAAAGGGTCGAAGGTTTTGAACTAACAACCGGAAAGAAGGTTGAATAATTTTTTCTCCTTCGTGGTGTACACTAAGTTGAATTCAATATGCAATCACAAACAAAAGACAAGGATTACACCTTGACGGTTGTAGTGTGGTTTCTGCGAAAAGGTTGAAAAATCGACACTAAACGCTCGAAAATACGGCACTCAAATTTTTCCAATCGAAAAAAGTTTGGGAAGCAAAGGCTGGCAGTCGCAAGTCGGGAGAAAATTCACAACAATCAACGCCAAAAAAGGTTGACAGTATTCTCTCCTCTACGGTATGCACTTGATCGGAATTTATATATTTTCACACTAAAGACAAGACTTGAGCTTGACTCTTTCTCGCAGTCACAGCGAAATACTTCGAAACTTTCAAAATTCGACACTAAAAATCTCCCGGTCGAAAAAGAGGTTGATTGCGCCTCCTCCTTCAAATTTTTTCACCTTGAAAACACAGCCAAGAGAGACCACATTCGCACGGTTGCAGCGCGAGAGAAACTCACCCGTGAGGATTCCAAAATCCGCACACAAAATTTCACACCCGAGTTAAGGTTCAAAACAAACCTTCCAATCTCAAGAGACGATCCAAAAATCAAAAAAAAAACACCAACCGGAAAAACACTCGACTCCGAAAAGGGGTAATCACACCTGGACCGCCAAAACACGTCTCGCTTCCGGACGCAAACTTTTGCGAGCACTTTCACTGGCGCGAAATACCGCGAATCGCTACGCCGACCTCAACCCACGCTCCGCAACACGGTAGTGCCGCGAACTTAGCTCGGCGCAAAGGCAACGGGGGGTGGCGGGGAGAGGGGTGTCGTTCGGGGGGGTGCTGCGCAGAGGCTACGATCCCGCGGAGTGACCCAGTGATCTTGGCCCGGCCGCTCGCGGTGACACAATTCCGCTCCGCGCTGGGAACAGACTGCTCGAGCCGCGCTCGCTTCAGCTCAAAGGTTTCGCACCGCGCGCGGTTGACCTTGAGCACCGCGGGGGGCGCGGGGGGGAATCGCGCACGCGCTCCCCCACCACGGCCCCCCGATTCATCGACGCGACTGCAAGCTCCGCCGTAATTGCCCCCCCCCCCCCCCCCNGGCGTGCAAAAAACTGCACGGAGGGAGCCTCGCTAGCCGGGGTCCCCCTCTTGGGTTGCAGTCCGGGGCCGTCTCGAGCGGTCCGGCAGGATGCAGCGCGGTTTGAAAACGAGAGCGGAGGGTGGAGGGTGGAGGGCGCGGGGCGGCCGCGCGGAGTCCGGCGAGGGGAGGATTCAAGATCACTGGGTCGCTCCGGTGCGGGGAGTTTTAGGCCGCCCCGCTGGAATGCATGACGCTCTTGTGGGAGGCTTAACGGCCGGCTGCGGGCTGATTAATAAAACTGATAGACCAAGTTAGAGACGAAGAGGAAGAAGGGAAAATGGAGCGCATTTATTGGTTGAGACGTTTAAGACCGTTGAAGACTCGAGTCCCTTTATGCTGAGAGTCAAGACAATGTGAATCCATTTCTGATTGGTTCCCGTATTTTAGGCCTTCACAATGTCACAAACGGGAATAAAGATTACATTTTCACCGATTGCAAAGATTTTAATGTAGAATGGACCGGGGAATAACGGGTTCGGCAAGGAACAAACGGAATGAGAGAAGGGACGGAGAGAGGAATTCGAGAATGGGCCGAACAAAGATTACAAAAAACGTTCAATTTCTGTAATCTTCATTCTCGTTTGTGACTCCATGAGGGGGTGTTGTCTTGACTCTCATTGTCAGTAGGGACTCTAGAATGCACGAGGCTTTTATGGGAGGCTTTACGACGGGCTGCGGAATGATTATTGAAACTGATAGACAAAGTTAGAGACAAAGAAGAAAAAGGGTAAATGGAGCGAATCAATTGGTTAAGACAGCGGGCTGATTGTTGAAATTGATGGACAAAGCGATAAACATAGAAGACAAAAAGGTTATAAAGAGATCCTATTGGTGAAGTCAGGTGGTTTCAATAGACAAAGGGCGTAAATAATAGACTGACCGACGGAAACCCACAAGAGACCCGATAGTTCGTCCATCATTTACCCCCTTAGTCTATAAGAACCACCCATTTCAATCAGTATCGTACCATTCTCTTCATGTTTTCTTTGTCTACAGCTTTGTCTATCAATTTCAAAAATCAACCTGCAGGTGACCGTTAAAGACTAGGAGGAAAAACTATATAGCCTAACTGGACCGCATTGAGCTGAAAGGAACCAAGCTACATCAGCTATTGCCAAATTTAACTGAGCACTTACATTTTTTACATGAAAACGGTTGTGCAGATTTAAGTGTTAATTTCAGTGAATTTTCTACATAGCGCGAAGCAAATTCCTTAAAATTTTCAAAGGAATCCGCATGAACGCTCTGTTGTAAAAAATTAAATTGCCCAGTTTCAGGTAATAGCTGTTGTGGCTTGGTTCCTTCCTACTTGACGCGGTCCAACTAAAAAGGTCTTTCGTGGGGTTGCCGTTGGTTAGTCTAGGTTCCACGCCACTAACACCAAGCATTACTTCAGTAACCTTTTAACAAATTGAGATAGAGAATAGAGATTGTGCGAGTGATTCTAGGTTAAAGAAACCACTTTTTGGACCACCCAAAATTTTAAAGAACCAATCGTCCTGAAAAGAGGCAAGAATCCTATAAGGAGTGACGAGGGTATATAGTGCAAGACTTATGGATCACCTTGTACATGAAAAAAAAGGGGGAAAAATTAAGAAAAAGACACCCGAGACTAAGACAGCTGTGGTTCAATGGCATATCGACCCGAAGTTGATGAAGATGACGCTGTGTTTTCATGGGCGACATCTCGAGTGTCAAAACACGAACCGAACGATCTCGTCAATAAACTCGAGGCGACGAAGCTAGGATCTTGCACAATCGCCGCCAGACTCCCATTAACATTCGGATCATCGGATGCCGCTGGCCAATGATCTCGGAAAATCCAAAATAAACTCTTCCTTCGTTGGACCCGAGTCGCCGACCTGACGCCACGGCCAAATGACCCAACGTCGCGTCGCATGTCGCGGACAGAGGCTTGATGTTCACGGAGAAAATTAAATTGCTGATTTAACAATTTTGTAGTTTAAAAAAGGTGACTGCTATCTTTAAATGTAGATTTTACAATAAAAAATGTTATTTTAACAACAAAAAATTGCTAATTAAACCACAGCTTACTACTAAGTACTGTAGCATGTACATTTGAAAGATTGCAGTCACTTTTTCTAACAATTGAGTTGTTCAATCAGTAATCCATTTTTCCCCGTGATGGGCGAGGTGCCTTAGAGTTTGCGAACGGAGGTCATGGAATCGATCGACATGAATCGATAAAAAAAAAAAAATAAAAATAAACGTGAATCGATCAACAAGATTCGGTAGATAACCGTGAATAGATCGAAAAATCCGCGAATCGATCGATAGACCCGTGAATCGATCGAAAAACCCGCTGATCGATCGACAAATTTGTGAATTGATCGAAAAATCTGTGAATCGATCGACAAATCTGTGAATTGATCGACGAATCTGCGAATCGATTGACGGGTTCGTCGGGATCGACTTTTTTTGTTCGAATCGGTGTCGATTCAATTCGGCGGACGTACTTTGCTTGTTGACGGCACGTGATACCACTATTTCGACACGAAGGAGCGCGTGGTGCCTATTCTGATAATTGAAGGAAAATCCATGTGCGAATCCTTCCGCTCCAGGCGATTGATACCACTATTTCGACACGAAGGAGCGCGTATTGCCTATTCTCCTAATTTCAGGAAAAAATGCGTGCCAATCCATCCACGTTCTACATTACTTCCTGCGCACTTCAGTCAATATGGCCGGCGAATTTTGCAATAAGCGAGAAGTGGCTGAGTTTCGGCCTAGAAGTTTTTAAAAAATGCGGTGGAAGACCTTGCAACGAGGACAGGATTATCGGAATTAATTTCAGATTCGGATCGAATTCATTTCGGCCGGATTTGCGTCCGAATCCGAGCTCAGCCACTAGAAGACCAAATCTTTTGAAAATGTGTATATGATTTGAGGACACGATTATTTTCATTCGGGAGCTACGAGAAAAACGAGTCGTCAAAAAAGGAAGTGATAAAGCCATTATTCTAAAAATAGATCGTCTTTTATTCTGAGTCGCACGACAGCTTGATGGAGCTTGCGTGTCTTCGCTCACTAAACTTTCGTCTCTTATTAATATAAGAATAACAATTATACGCGGGCTGATTATTGAAACTGATATGCAAAGCTATAGATAAAGAGGACAAGGGGAAAATAGAGGGATCCTATTGGTGGAAGCGGGTGGTTACTGTTGACTAAAGAGGTAGGCGATAAACTAAAAAAAAAAAAAAAAATGGAATTATTACTCGTGCTGTCAACTTTGTTGGTACACGGAAAAAATAAAATTGCTGATTTAACAATTCAATTGCTAAAAAAGTGACTGCGATATTTCAATGTAGATTTTACGACAAAAAAATGCTACTCTAACCACTATTCGTCGCTTGGCTGACATTAGGGCGTAACTACACATTGAGATGAGCCCAGAAAAGCATTGAATTATATGGAGGACAGGGTTCATTGCTAAGTGTTGTTACGCCCTTATTCCAGGTAAGCGACGAATTGTATAAGCTACTTTAACCACGGGGATGGTTAAAGTAGCCTTTCTTCGTTGCAAAATCTACATTGAAACGTTGCAGTCAATTTTTTTAGAAATTGAATTGTTAAATCAGCAATTTAATGTTTTCCGTGTAAATAAAAAAACCGCGGATATTGGCAGTTGAGTATTACACGGAACTATCGATACGAGGGTTGGGTTGGTATTTGATAACGCTTCGTTCCCTCCGGAGATATGCCGAATATCCAGGGCAGTGGGTTGGGGGATGAGATGGAATTTTAGAAAAACTTCGAGCATTCCACCCCCCCTCCCCCTCCTCTCTATTACGCGCGAGGCAGAGAGATAGAATAATACGTCACGCTCTCCCAACTTGAAAAAGAGAGAAGAGAATCGGTTGGGTTTTCGAGCGAAAATCGCGGTTTGTCCTTTCCAAAACGAGGGGTCGCTAATAAAGCACTTTCGACAAGCGTGCTGATTATTAAGAGTTATAGATAAACCAATAGACAAAGAAGACAAAAGGCATATGAAGGGATCCTGTTGGCGGATGCGGGTGATTGCAATGGACAAAGGACGTAGGTAATAGACTAACTAACGGCAACTTACTAGAGACCCTATACCTAGTCCATCATTTTCTCCATTAGTCGGAGGAATCACTCATTTCAAACGATAGGATCGCTCCACATTCCCTATGTCTTCTTTATCTATTGCTTTGTCTATCAATTTCAACTTAAGGGAATTAGATAGACACACAAGAAGTTATTTCCCACGGATTGTTGGCTACTGCGTTGAACAGAGTTCCCTCGATTTTTCGAGAAAATTCCGATTTTTCCGGGGAAAACCAAACTGACCCAGCGAAGCGAAGCGTATTATTGGAAATAACGCGAAATCAACTAAGAATCAGTTAACGAATTAAAGGAAGATCTGTATTGATAAAAATTAAAATGTATGTTAAAAAAAACTGTCGAGCATAATGCAATAAACCCACAATCCTCATTTTCTCGTGCATCTCGCTCAAATTCGCGGCTTTTTCACCTGAACTTCGACCTTGACGATATAAAATTAGACGTCAAGACTGATGCATGTCTCTATTTTTCTCCATCCGGCATAAGAGTATTTAATTTTCGGTCGTGGGAATTTTTCATTCGACGAAAACGCTCAGGCGTTCCGGTGTGACATGACGAACAGTGGCCACCGCCTTTGTCCGCGAGGGTGACACACAATGGATCGAGTCAATTAGAGAGGTCGGACATGAAATTTATGACTGAAACTGCAA